TCGTGGATTTCTACTTAGGTGAGAATGGATATATTATGCCAAAGCATTACTGTAACTTTCATTGGAAAAGTTTCTGCTTTGCTCTGTGCTAAGAACGCTGTCTGGAATTCCCCTTCCTTTTCTGAGTGATAGTTTACGGTCAATTTGGCCTCTTTTGCCTTCATTCTTCTCAACTAGTAGAAAAGGGTACTCTTGACTGAAGTTGCCTCGCATTTTTGTAAGCCAGGATCTTGTGTCACCTCTATAAACCACTCCCCATTCCCGCCTAGGCTGACTTTTAGAGTGCGCAAGATGCACTATCAGCAGCATGTCGCTTATTTCTTCTTACCTCGGGTTCAAATTTTAGCAAGTTTATATGTTTGGCTTTACTGTTGTTTGTGTCATGTCGATGTCTTTGCTTTTATGGGCTTGTCCTGATGCGACATGCACCTGAATGTCGCTACTGATGCTATGCCTCATTTGCCAGCATACACGAAATGATCAGCATCGTTCAGATCTATCTCTTGCTGTCTACCAAGGTTTACATATAAACAATCTCATACAGAACACATTAATCTACCCAACGGTACGAAAAAAAACATTAATTACCGTTTCCGACACGTCATAAGGGTAATTAAAGATATATGTTGTACTTTTTCTCCAAACTGCCAGGTGGCGCTGCTCATATCAAAATTTTGACGCAACTTCATTGACCCGTTGCTTGGTAACGGAGTGACGTGAGACAAAATCTTTTTAAGAGATTGTTAGGGGATGTTTATTCTTTCATTTAAGACACAATCTTAATAATCAATGGTTATTAAAGAAAACAATACTTAAGCTTCAACGCCGCACGCACACACACACACGTGTTTAAACAAACCTAACCATCTCGGCAGAGGTAACAACAATTAGCAGCGACTGAACCGTGTGATCGTGTTTCAGGTAAAGGTCAGGGGTGACGGCAGAATGGAAGAACAGCCTGTTTGTTTTGCTGTGTTATGAATTATCCCCCCTCCCTTTCAAGGAAGTCTTCCGCATATAAAGTCGAGTGTTGTACATACTTAAATATTTGCAATTTTTTCTAACTATTGTGAGGAAATGGGGAGGAGGGGTTACAGGCTTGTGAATTAGTATTTCTCGATGTTG